CTCAAAACTATGCCACAAAGTGCTTGACATGGTTATACCTTTACGAAAAAGTTCCCTGACAAACTACTGAGGAACTCGTCATTATTTATTCTATATGGAAAAATACAAACTCTTTCTCTTGATATTTGCTTATGTACTATTTAGTTTACTGTTTTTATTTCCTAATGCAGGTACCTAGATTTGAAAGTTGTCCTAAATAGGTCATGCAGTATAGGGCATAAATCCCGCCTCTGCCAGCCATCCTTATGGGGCCGTGGACAAACTTCAGAAATTTATTACACAGACCATAATATTTTTCCCCCTGCTTGTGATGTCGACATGTGCTCAAGTCCTCTTTTTTCTGTACAGCTCCATTTTTAAAAGTTTTAAATTCAGGGGTTTATGTTTTCTATGATTGACACTTGATACAGCCTATGAGCGTATGACGATTGCGTAGCTCACCCGGGGAATACGCTGTTTGAGCCGAACATCATCACAGCAACTCTCCAGCAAAATGCGTACAATGCTACTGCGCAAGTGGTGGAGTGCGCACAACGCTACAGCGCAATGTTGGTTTCAGGAAATGCAGAAAAAAATTCCATACCAAACCCTGGACATTTGAAGGATTTTATAAACTCCCCAGGACAAGTCCGGACAGCCCACCAAAAAGAGGACATGTCTGGGTAAAAGAGGACGTATGGTCACTCTACACAATACTGTATAGGTGTCATTGTTAACATCAGAGATTTTAGCCTTAATCCAATGGCTGTATTCATTTTAAAACTTTTTTTTCCTGAGTCCTGTACATTTAATTAACTTTTTTTTATTTATTGGAGAGTAATTGCTACTTCTAGAAGAGTAGACATCCATATACACATTTGTGCTTCAAAAGTATTCATCCTTAAAAAAGTTATTCTTGTGCGATTGTTTCTCTCTCCTGCCGTATCTGTGTGGCTGACTGCTATAAGCCTTGTTCTGATGATAGCATTGGTCTCTTTTTTACCCTATATTTTTCTCATTAAATTTAAAATAGAAAAAAAAGTGGGAATTTTTTTTTTTTTTTTTTTTGCATGCAATAGTCTGACTCAAAACAAAGAATAACATAAGTTCCCATATTTGTGTTTGGGAAACTTATATCCTCACAACGCCCTACACAATTTTATGGTCTAAAATTAAAAAATACAATTCTTCCTAAACCAAAATATTCATATTAAACCTCTACACATTACTTCACTGAGATTAAATCCTCACCTCTTAGTGAATATTTATTCTAATACAAGAATGCCGGGCCATAGTTTTTTGTAACCACAGCTCAAAGTGAGGATTTTGCTCAAGATTTTGTCATCATCTCTTCTTGTGTTTGTTTAACTCAAAAGATTGTAAAAACGTCCACTGGTACATTAACAGCCTCTCTTTGATTTGTCTTTGAGTTTTTATTAAATGTTTGCTGTGTTTGGTTGTCTCTTGACTCTTGTAGCCTTGACAACCAATTTTGGGATTTATAATGGTCCCCCATGATCTGACAGGGTTTAGGCAGTCATGACGTCCTTAATGATCTGCACACGCTGACACATGCTGACACACATTGTATTTGACAAGGTGCTCAAGGGAGGGTTATAGGATATTGGTGAGCTAGTGGCTACAGAGATTCAAAGAAGAAAAAGGAGATTGAAAGGGAGAAATATCAGACCTGGAGGAACAGATCTCTGTAATCACCAGGAGCTGCTCTGTTCTGTTTTTATTCCGGACTGTTAGAGCATTTTTGTCATGGACGCCATGGTTATTTCATGTCATTTTCACTGACTCAGTCCTAAGCTGTTTGTACTCACAAGCTAACTGATATTTACAGCAAACACAGCTGCTCAGTGAGATGAAAAGGGTTTGGTATAATGGAGAGTATATGGAGGACGCTGCATCTTCATCCCTGGTTAGTCCTACCCATCGTGCGAAATTTCTTTTGTAGTTGAGAGATGTTTTTGCTATTTTGAGGATTAGATTTTAGGCAATTAAGATGTACAAACCCCAATTCGAATGAAGAGAAGCCAAAAAGCATTTGCCAATTATTGTATTCTGTTTTTATTCATATTTTACACAATGCTCAAACCTCATTGGAGTAGGGATTTGTAAAAAAGGAGAAATGTATTTAGTGTTTTAGTGTACTGAGCTTTTACTAATTTAGATAAAAATGTATTCTATTGATCAAGACATCACACAGGTATTCTCTGTTAAAACATATAGCTAATTGAGTTTGGCCTCTCTTCATTTGAATTGGGGTTTGTACATCTTAATTAAGACTGGTATCTTCTATCATCTAAATCTCAGCTGGAAAAAGAACCACGTTGTTGTGTACCACATTATCAGTTTTTACTGAAAATACAATTGCAGGCCCTGACCCTGGTACGCAATGTTTCATTTGGTTCAACCACTTCCTAAGAACATGTAGCTCTCAGATGAGACACGTTTCTTTCCTCTCTCCCTTTAGACATAGCACGATCTGCCTACGTTTGCTGCCTGACAGGTGAAAGCAGGTGGGAGAGCCGTGGGAGTCGTTCACTCAAGAGGTGAAATGAAAAGCCCGGGACATTCGCATTCTCCTTCCACGCTCTGTTCCGATTTCTGCTCCTGCGTTGGTGTGAGTCCGCTCTCGGCTCCAAGGGCAAACAGAAAGAGAAACGGCAGTAGGTTGTCAAGGAAACACGGGAGCTACAGACACAGACACACACTCAGGGAAACACACAGGTGATGTGTGTGGTTAGTTGGCTACACACATGCTCAGACATGTGTGGTGAATACGTCAGCATCGTCCTGTTTGCAGCGTGAGTAAGAGTTTGTGGGCTGGAGCTGAGGAACATTTCATGACACCAGCTGATGAGTGGGAATCTAAAGTTGGCAGCATGTCACGACTTTTATTTGTACAACCTTTAATCTTTAGTCACACAGAAGATGCCTAACTTTAAAATGGAGTTTTGGACAAAATGTAGGCCTTTTAGTTGCAGAGTCCAAAATTATGACAGCAGATTACACCCACAAACAGTATTTATATAGAAATCATACTTGTGTATCTTGGTTTCCTGTTTGTCCTCTGAGATTTGTGCATGTCTGATGTTCTTTCTGTTCTACATCACAAGACATTTATAATCACGCGTCTCTTCCTGGCAACATCTGAAGAGACTGGCTTTGATCAACTGCTGTCCCACAATGTTACAATGTCATTTAGCTGAAGCTTTTATCCAAAGCCACATACATTCAAGAGCGAGAAAGACAATGAAACAACCAATCATCAATGTAAGACCTTTCATCTCCCCTCTCTATCTCATATGCCATTTGTGTCTTGTTCCCACTGAGAGCCCTGAGATAGTTTAAATGGAAGGGCGTGCCTGCACTTGACATGCAAATGTGGGAAAAGTAACAACCAGGCAAAATCAAAAGCAAAATTTAAAACAAATGCCTAATTAGTAGCTGGGAATCCAAATGGGGCCAAGAACACCACAGCCAATATGGCGAACAATTTTGAGTGGGGGAGTTGGTGGGAGGGAGTGATATAAATGTCAGCTTTTAAAGATGTGTTAATGTGCACTTTCTAGTACAGGGAGAGCATTCATGGCTGGCTCAGCGTTTTGTGTGTGTGTGTGTGTGTGTGTGTGTTTGCATGTATGAATGCCAGTCCCCTAATCTGTCTTAATGTGCTTTTGCAATGTCAGCTCTTCTTTTTCATGTGTCTTGGCTGTATGTGTTGATTAACAAGGATGTTCAGAAAGCGTTACTGAGGGGTAAAATGGATTTTTAAAAAAACATAAAAAAACAAACAAAGAACTTGAATGCTAACACCTTGCTTAGCCATGCAAAAGATCAGGCTGACACCGTGAAGTTCAGCTTTCACAAGCAGAGTTAATGATCAAAGGATTATTATCTGACCTTGGATCGCAGCCCAGGATGAATTAAGGATTAATTTGCCAGATATTAACTTGGAGGACTGGATTAGGCAGGTAAATAGAGAGAAAGAGAGGGTTGGACATTAGCTTGGCACTGGCAACCCAAGAGTCAGCAAAAGACAAAACAATATGAGTAACGAATCTATAAAAGCTAATTTTGTATATAACGTCATATCCTTCCATGCCCTCCAAGTTCCCAATCCCCAAAACTCCCCACTAGTTTCTGCCAAGTCTCATTTATTCACTGAACAGAGCGATCTTGATTAAGACACACACACACCCTAAAGAGGAATAGAACAACTTCTTATCTCCCAGCCGGGAAGTGAGGAAGGAACCATCAACACTGACAAAAAGGCTGGGTCACTCGCGATGAGAGGCGGCTGTGTTTTTGGTTGTATGCAGTTTTCCACTAGCTTGGGGTTAAAAGTTCAAAGTAATCCTCAGTGATGGGACTATCTAGACTCTTAGAATTTATTGTGTTTTTTATTTCAGTATCACCACAAATACATGAAGTGTTTGCGAAGATATACAATATATTTGATATATAAAAGCTGCACTGATAAAGTTGCAAATTTCTCAAGCACATTTTCTGTTTGAAATTTGTAGAGGTTTAAATGACTTTTATGGTTTTACAATCCAGTAATCTTTAATTTTGATTTCACATCATGGTTGTTATAAAACAGTACCCTGGTGTTAGAAATATTCTGACGGTTGTTTTAGGAGATGATTGATTCTGCTTTTGTAGCTGTCTCTCCTATATTACGTTTGGTAGTTAGCCTCACAGTGAACACTGACCAGGATTTTAGCTTTTGAATGTGGTTTCTATTCATTTACAACCTGTGTTGTACAGTAAGACGTCAAATTGGATCCGGTTCAGAGAGTAAATCAAAAAGAGTAGAGTAAAATTGATACAGTAGACGAGGTAAGGTAAAGTGAGCACAGTCTGAATAACAGCCTTGTGAGAGCTGGGGACAAAAGGTAGTGTATTAAATGGCAAATAAATCGAAATTGAAGAAGTAGGAGGAGAGGTAGGGTGTAAAACCATGTGTATGAAAAATAGTGGTGCTCCTGTGTTGCTCTCCTTGCCCTTCAGGGGTGGTCCTTTGGTGAGATAACCTCAGCTAGACAGCCCAGGGTGATACAGATCAGATTAAGATGACGGCCTGGAGTGCTGCCCAGTAAGAAATTAAAGTGCATCCTGTAGAAAGAAAAGAGAGAAAAATCAGCATTCTTTGTTGTCCTCCACAGGAGAAGAAAGGGACTTGATCTTATTTGCTCAAGAACATCAACTTTTTTGTGTGTGTATTTATGCATCTCTATGTACCAGTCTTATCTATGTATTTCACTGTCTAACTTGGGTGGCTTTTCTCATTTCTTGTTGATTGGCAAAAGACATGTAAAGATAAATGTAGGTCGGCCTTTCTGGTACAGATCTACACTGGTTTACATAACACATCAGCAAAACTCTGTTTTCCTTTTAGAGTTCTGGTAGGCAAATATTTCTTGAAATTTGCCTGCAGGTTCAGTCTTCAGCCCCCTTCCTTTCTTCTCTGTCTGCACATGCTACCATTAGGGTTACATCATCAGCAGGCATGGCATCTGTTTCCACTGCTGCACAGAAAAGACTCGTGGTCTGGGCCCTGACCACATTCTAGTAAATTATATTCCAAAAATGAGGATCTGGAAGGCTCAAAATTTTCCTCAATATGATTATGAATTTGAAAAGAAAATGGATTCTAATGATAGCAGATCAGGACAGATCCTCATTCCACATCTTTGCTGCAAGACTATCAAAAATATCCGACAAGAAATTAGTTTTTGTGATGTGGTATAAGCACTCTAGGTCAAGTCCTCCTCCATCTGCAAACCCGGGAACCACACATCTGAGACCTTCTCCAGATGCTCACTACTGATGGAAAGGGGCTAAATGACTGTTTTGTCTCCCCTGTAGTCTATGACCAGCTCCTTATCCCAGTAAGCAGACCCATCTCCCCGAGAGACGAGTCCAATGATAGTGGTGTCATCAGTAAATTTGATGATGCTGTTGCTGGCATGGACAGGAGTGCAGTGGTGTGTGTCAAGGGTGTAGAGTAGGGGACTCAGCATGCACCGGGGAGCCAGTGCCGAGACTGAGAGCAGAGCCTATTCTCAGATTCTCAGGACATACTTAATCCAGACTCATGGATATGGTGTCCTCTGTGGACTGATTTGCTCTGTAAGCAAACTGGTGGGTGTCAAACCTGGGTGGGAGGCTTTAGATGACGCAAGTTCAGACAAGTTTCTCAAAGAACGTCATTACAACAGGAATGAGTGCCACTGGAAAGGGTCTCTTTTGGCAAAAACTCCATCGTAGGATGATGGATTTGGGGTAGAGACTGAGTCCTTCAGCACCCAGTCAAAAACACCATCTGGTCCCGTAGATTTCTGCAGCAAATCAGCATGGTTGAAGTGCTCTGCTATGATGGGAATAGCAGATATTGACTAATCCCATTCACACACAACTGGGTGAAGCCAACAGCGGGTGGAATCAAGTGTCCTGCTCAAGGACACTTCGGCATGTGGACAGCTCTCGACCCCCCAACCTTATGATCTGGAGACAACCGACTCGAACAACTGAGCCGCAGCCACCAGCTGTTGTTTACATACAAGCATGTCCCCCCAGCCTTTGCTCTTGATGTAGTCTTGTGTGCCATACGGCCTGCTAATTTGATAGCTGTATCTGGAATGAGTGAATAACGCCAGGTCTCTATGACAACCAGAATGCATCTGTTCTTACCGATCCTGTTGCTTCAACTCGTCGATCTTATTTCCAAGGGATCTCATGTTGTTGAGGAAGATACTGGTCATCCGAGGCTTGTGAGACCGCCTGTTTAACGTCACCAGTGCACCTGCTCTGCAACCTCCTCTGCTTCCTATCCCTGTGCTGCCTCTGTCTCCTGCCTGCTGGGAAGGTTATGTACGGTGAGCCTGGGCCTGGCTATGTTCGCCAGTATGTTGTGGGAGCAGAGAAACTCGGCTTTTTGGAGATAATGCTAGCTGTAAATGTTGGTTTCTCAGCAGAATGGTGTCAGAAAAGTAACAACACATACATAAACATCTAAATAAATCACCGTAAAGGAGAGCACTGAGCCACTGCTCGCTGCCATCTTAGAGTTAGGAATTTACAAGTACGGATAAGCGCTTAGTCACTTGGTATTATTTCCACTCTGCCTTTCCGTGAGGATCTTTCCTAGCTGTGTGTGTGCGTGTGTGTAGGTGTGTGCATGTGAGTGTGACTATGTACGTGTGTGTGGACACCTTGTGCACCTCGAAGGAAACACTGACGCGTCTGTAGTTCTCCATAAAAAGAAAGGGTTTTCCAATGCAGGAGTCATCGGCTGCACGCTTCACACTCATCTCTCTCAGCCTGACACTGTGATGCATATCTTCCTTGTTTTTTCATCGACTGTCACGCCTTGGGGTTTGTGGTGACGCAGAAGCTTTGTGGGCATCCAGACTACCTGACGGTTGCATTGCATCAGTTAAAGGGGAAGCCCTCACGTAAAAGAATGAGCTGATGTATTTTTCACACAATACTACATCACAAGCAGGTTATTTTACAAATAAACATTTGCTGATAATGAGCAAAATGACAGAATATTAAATTTCCAGTTCCCAGCTTAACTCTTAAGAGTTATTTCTCTTTTTTTTATGAATTTTTATTTAGTTCATAATCATAAGCTTGACATATGAACACACAATGTGTTTGTCTTGAGTTTTTGTTTAAAGAACAAAACAGCAAAAATTATCCCCAGTACAGCAAATATAAAACCAAGAAATGAAGTAGGTGTGTAACTGTCTCCATACACTAAGCGCGAGTAAAATCATTCTCTCGAATTAATTACACGTTAAGTCAATGTAAAGACGTGATTAGACGCTCCTACTACTCTGGCGGCGCTAATGAAGCAAATTGGGTGGAAGCTAAATATGTCTCAACTTGAGCGTAAATTCGCGTCACGATAACTAATCAGCGTGAAGGTTGCCGTATGAAAACCGATGGTTGGTATCTAAAATGGAGGACAAACTGATTGTGTCGGTGTGTGGGTAAACCAAGTTATTTGATACCTTTTTCTGAAATTACCAAAATGAGAATAAAGAGGAGCTTGACTGGAGGCAATACATTTTTATGTAGGATGGTAGGGGAAAGTCCCGCCTCCTTCGCCTCTGATTGGCTAGAAAAGCTGGCAACATCATCATATGCTCAAGCCAAAAGCGGGCTGTTGGCTCTGTGCATCTAACAGAACATTACAGAACATTATCGCACTCCTGAATCTCCTAACCCTAACCCTAACCTGACAGACGATGACGTTTCACAGCCATAAGGAATAACCAATCAGAGCCCATCACTTCTAGCCAATCAGAGGCGAAGGAGGGCAGGACCTTCACTTACCATCCTACAAAAAAAAAAAACAATTTTCGCTGCCTGTAGAGTGAGTGAGGAGGTTTACCTGGTAAATTTTAAAAACCTTTTGTCTATCACTTGATCCTGCCGGTTGAATTGGCAGGAATAATCACTGAAATTACAGTTGACGTGCAAATGAAGCGAGTAAATACCTTTCATTCACGTGTCTAGATTTGTGCGAATGAAGCGAGTAGATGATTTTATTAAATTTTTAAAAAATGAATTTGAAATCAAATATTGTGTTTTAAAAGAACACGAGCTTGTTGACTTTTAAAGCAGCAAAATCCACATTTGCATATGAGGGTAATGTAAAAAAAAAAAAACACAATATCGTTTTGAATGTTGTGAAGCATGCAGATTGTTTATGTAAAGAGCTGTCTATATTTATGTCATTTTGATTTAATGACTGTGTATCCTATAGGTTTCTACAGCAGAAATCAGGTTTATTTCCAGGCCAGTGTTCGGTACAGGCAGAAGTATCCAAAACATGAGGCAAAAAAAAGTCAAAAAAAATAGTAAGGTCAAGGTAATGAACATGAATAATGAGATGAATGCTTTAACGTGACATAAGACAACGAACTGGCAAAGGGACAGGAGATGACAAGAGGATAATTAGGTAATTGGACACAGGTGTGAAGGGAACAATCAGGGAGCAGCTGTGACGAGACGAGGGCAGGGCAGACAGGAACAAACCTAAAACAGAGGCCAGGGTTAGCCATTTTAAAATAAGGCAAACAGAAACACAAGACAAGAAGACAAAAAGATAACTTGACCAGTAAACATGACAACTAAAGTACAAGGCTTTAAGACTCGAATGAAGTTCTGTGATTTATAATTGTACTTGGCACTCATTTGTATCGCAGAGATGTATGATGGAGTGAACTCTGTTTAACCCCGTGACAGCGTTCATTTATTCACAGAGCAAGTTGGCCTTACAGGACAAACCTGTTCCTTTTCAAAGGAACTTAGTGGAACGTTTGGCCCGTGTGTCGGTGTGTGCGAACCCCACAGAGCTCATTAAACTGTTAATATCGCTGTCTTCCTCTTCACAAAAACTTCAAACCTCACAAGATATTGCATGCTCAGTGGCTGAAATACACAGCCTTGCTCACACACACACTCGCATACGCACATTCAAAGCCTTGCCAAGCTTTTTCTGACTAAATGCGTGCCTGGCTGCTTGCTTAAACACACACTCCCTCACACAGACGCACTCACACACACACATGGCTGCAACACAGCACTCTTATTTAAACTGATGTGAGTGCTGTCACGACATCCGACTAGTCCTATTTGTTCCACAGAAGCCTTGGCGTGAGAGAGCAGGGTCACCCCACTGGCTCTCATGCAAATCCATTCAGCACATGCGCGCGCACACACACACACACTCACACACACACGCACACACTTAATGGTCCTGTAGATAAGCAAAAAGACAGAGAGACCAGCAGGCAGGCAGAGAGCCTTGTAAAGAATCAGGCTGAGAGAGACAGGTGGACAGGAAACAATCAGACAGAGGAAAAAACTGAGTGAAGGACAAAAAGCAGACAGGAACAGGCATAGAAATCCAGCGGATGACACTCAGGCACACGTGTTGAATCTGACAGTCATGTAGAAGGACTGATTCATTAACTGGCTGTGCTCAGTCCCTACGTTAAAAAATGATCATGGGATGTTTCACATGCTGGGGCTCCAAATGTTAGCAAGAATTTTCTGTTCTGTTAGATTTTTTTTTCTTTTTTTGGCAAAGCAGTGATAGTGGAAAACACACTACAACAATAGCCCAAAGGATTTGAGCCATAAATTCAGAAACACTTCAAGTCAAACAGTTAATCAAGTCCAAAACAGAAGCAGCATTGGACATGTGCTGCATCTCAACAATCCCCAACTCCCAACAGGTCTGAAGAAAGTCCTGAGCAGCAAGTTCAGCCAGTTTTTAAGCAAAACCCGTACCACTTAGAGAGCAGAAAAGCAAATACACGGCAAATATTGTACAGAGTCAAGGCAAAGTGAAAACATGCAAACCAGGAAAACAAAAGCAGCTGAAAAAAAAAAAAACATATGCAGTGAAAATTACAGGCAGAGGTAGGATAACTTTATTTTTCTACTGAAGAGAGAGAGAGACGTGGCATTGGGTCGTTCAATTTTCAGACCACATAAGACTCAGCCGTAGTGGAAGGTCTCTGAAACTAAGCCTCAGTTAGTACTTGACAAAAAAAACATACAATTTACTACCGTAAACATGCATAACTTGGTCTTTGATTTAGTCGGGGTCCAGTGGAGCATTTTCTAAAAAAGCAATGGTTTCTCAAGGAAAGGTAGTTTTCCCAAAGTTATGCTGCGTTTGAGTTACCTCAGAAGTCAGAAGTCCATGTTGGGAATGATGTCACACCCGAGTTACCAGCGTTTCAGTTACCAAGTCGGAAGAAGTCAAAATTGGAGGCGAAAACAAGATGGCTACATCTATGAAAGTTATTTTAGCGCTTGCCTCGTCCAAATACAAGGACAAAGCAAGTGCTAAAATAACTTTCGTAGATGTAGCCATCTTGTTTCCACCTCCGTTTCTGCTTATCCATCATTGGTTTGTCAGCTTGTGGAAATGAGTGAACTGGTGAAAGTCATAAAAAGGTAGAAACGTTAACCACCACTGAGTGCACTGAGAGACTTCAGGGTTAAATTTGGCAAGAAATTTAAACGTAGTTTTAATCAAAGTCAACTGCAGAAAATTGTGGTTAATTTTAGTCATACTTTAATGTTCATGCCTTGTGTTGTTTTAAACAAAAAAGTATACACTACTATGTTTGGTCATCTTGGCTGAGATTTCAAGAACACAAATTTCCTTTACTACATTGACCTGCTTTTACCTGACCTATGTTAATTTTTGCTGAATGACCCGATGTCTGTATATGAGTCTGAAGACACAGCAAATAATTTTTTAGAGGGAGTTGGTAGACAAATACTGTCATGTAGTTTAGCTCTGTTAAAGTTAACGATTGATTAAGTTGGGTGGAATGCAAATCGCCAACAGGTGTTTTGTTGGGTTTTGCTACCCTTTGTTACCATAGCAGCCCAAATCTATACAGACCCATGATTCCACAAAGATCTCTGAGTTTTATTAAGTGTCTATTTGTCATGCATTTCCATTTCCTGTACAGGTTATGATGAAGTTCTCATTTTCATCATGCCAGTTGCAATTAGCTAACAGCTATCTGGTTTTGGCTTCCTACCATAGACTGTAAACAGACTTCTTTCTGCCAGCCTGACCTTGTGGGAAATCCTCCACTGATGATGAAGGAAATAAATGGAGGAGATGACACTTTGTACTGGCACACTTGTTTCAAATAAACGACTGATTTAAAAAGGAAAACAAACAGCGATGTAATTGATTATCTGCTTGAACAGAGCC